TTATATATATTATATATATATTATATATTATATATATTATGTGTGTGTTTATGTGTATATATATATACACATATGCATTAAAACACACATCTACACACATATATATATATATACATATATACATCTGAGATCATTTGTGTATATCATATGTACAATATATTGTACTCATAGAACCCACATTTTTTCAGGCAAACACGGAAACAGCATCAGCGTGAAACCTACCGAGATGCATCAGGTATGCAGGAACCACCAGGAAACTCATCCAATCCATCCTGGCATCAAAGTACCAACCATGGCCGCCATGGCCAATCTGGGTGCAATCTGGAGGAGACAAATAGAACTATGGACTGCACCCTCCAGGCCTTAGCATAAAAATGCCCGTCCACACGGCCAAAAGCACAGGACCAGAGAGCCAACATCCAATGACCTCGGCTAATGCGAAATGCTTTCGCGAATTTTCTTCCCCAACTAGACTAGCTAGACAAACCAAGGGTTTGTTGAATTAATAGCTGGGGTGAAACTGATACCAAATAGTACATTCTACATGTTTCATCATTTTTCATCAGATTTGTTGATCCTCTGATATAAAATGATATATATATATATATATATAACATACAAGTTTCCTTGGAAGAAAGACTGTGAAGGCTTCAAAACAATTGTGGAATCACCAGATTGGGGGATTTTGCACATTTGTGTTCTTCCCTCGTTTTGAGGCAACTGCATTTTTGATCATTTTTGTGAAGGTCCACATAGTCTATCCGTATCTATCAACATCTATCCATATCTATCCATATCTATCCATGACCATCCATATCTATCCATATCTATCCATATCTATGCAAATCTAGCCACGTCTATTCATATCGATCTAGCCACGTCTATCCATATCTATCCATGCTATGGATAGGCAAGCCCAGAACAGACCCAAGCTTGGCCGTCTTCGGCCCACCACCACTGCCATGCTACGATGGCCGTGGATTTCAATCCGTTCACCCACGCCATGGCGACACGGCGACACGGCGACACGGCGTGCCCTGGATTTCTCGAGGCGTGCTACGATGGCTGGAGATCAGGACGAGGTGTGCTGGCGTGATATTTTCGGGCTATCCCATGGGGACTGTGGAAGAGATCCTGCATCAGTTGCTAATAACTAGTGATAACTATGAAAAATTGTAAATCATTGGATTGTCATGAGATGTCATGAGACAAACTACCAACTGGCGCAGGATTTCTTATGAGATATAGGGGCACTGGCTTCTTGATTAGGTACCCGTTATTTTCCCCAAAAAAAATGGCTGGTGCCAAAACGGAAAATGACGAACATCTGAGGTCCCCAAGGCCTTACATTTTGACTAACAGTTTGGGGCTGTATGGGTGTGTCCAAGAATGGGGCGATTCACCACGATGAGTTGTCAGTGGGAAGGGTGTTAACTGCGTTGCTCCACCTCCACCTCCACTCAATTAATCGCCATTTACCATCACTTGAGTGGATTGTCGTTACTGTAGTTCATGGTAGTGCATGGACCCAAGATGTAATAAACTTGAATCTCAGAGACCTTTCCGCCAAGGTTGTTTAAATCCTCAAATTCAGGTCAGTGTTGGTTAAAATCCCAAAGTGATGATTCTCTGCATGAAGTTAAAAAAAACTGGCAGTTTCTCAGCATCATCCAAGTGATCCTCGTGATTCCTCGATCCACATCACCCCAAATTTGTGAAGGGAAGCTAACACTGTTCACCGTTCACTGTTCACCACCAAAAATTGCACGTGCATATGTCAATGTATACACAATATGCCTATATTTCTATAAAATGCATTCTGTACATAGTTCAATACTAATTAATATAAATAAATAACTAAATAAATATCAAAATATATATATATATATTAATATATATATATATAATATGTTATATCAATCATTAGCCTGTTTGTCTGTTGCCATGTCCGTATGCAAAATGTGGAGCCCAGGGGGTAGCCCAGGGGGCAGCCCATGAGCAGCCCCAAATGGAGCCCCAATGTATGTTAAAGACCCATGTTGGGTCTGAAAAAGGGTTCACCTCAGGCCTTGGCGTGCACAATCAAACTTGGTATGAAACAAACCTCTTGAGTCAGGTGACCCAAGTCTGCTTGGACAACATGTTGGAGCGCCAGTGCCACACTTTGAGCATAGTCATCGAGGGCCGAATAGGTGTTTTTTGCTTGAGACTTGGATTTTGTTACCGCATGGTGACATACTTATTGAGTTCACGAAGCATTTTTGACGACCTGATTTTGATGCTTGACCGGGGGCTATTGCCATGAAGCGCTTGCACGGCAGTAGTGATGATGAACCAGCCCCAGGCATCTAGTAGCAAGTCATTTTTTGCCACTTTGACACCGGGTGGCATTTTTTTGAACTTCACTGCAATGGTCATACCATACATTGCAATTACGTTGGGCAGGGAGTCTGTGAGAGTGCTGTACAGTGGTTGGGGCACTCTTCCCACTTCCCGTCAGCTCCTTTGATGCAAGGAAGCTGCTGCTACATCAACGTTTCCACCATCTGAAGTTGCACGCGAAGACGCGTAGCAGTTTTCACAGACTTGTCTAGTGTGGAGGACGTGGTGTCAAGGTAGTGTTGGATGGTTTGATGTCTAGACTGGCTGAATGAAGTTCCGACATGTTTCTTTAGGCAACTTGAAACCTCTTTCCTTTTCATGGGCACGGCGCCCCCCCAATGCTTGGCACTTGGAATCTGCCGTTGCTATATAGTTGGTGTGCAGCAGGAGATCTATGACAAGGACAACTTCGAATATGGTCCATTTCATCACGGTGCATTGCCGGGAATCTGGTCACCTTCCGGATTGATCCATAGCTGCAAAGAGCAGGCCAAGATTGAGCTAGGCGTAGCACGGCGGTAAAACATACTTCTGCGCATTGGCAAGAATATGTTCATTTTTCAGTGACTTTTCTTGGCTGGATACTGTGATGACAACTGACATTGATTACTTGCTGACGCCTGTTTGTGTGCTATAACGATTCTGATTTTGAGTCTATGATTATCTCAAAATTTGCTCTTTTCAATCATTCTCCAGCGTTGGCAGGAAACTGCCTTTGCTTCGAGTGACCTCTTCCATTGGCTGGTCGTGCGGGGGATGTAGCTTAGGCTGGGGCTATTGCGCTGATCGTTTGGATTTGGACGATTTGCAGGCGCCAACAGTGGCGGCCAAGGCGCTTGGGCGCACCTTACATGTTGAGAACTTCTCAGAGCTGATATGGAAATTTGAACCAGTAAGGATAGTCAGGATTATCCTTTTTGATTCTGTGGCATGGGGTTGGTTCCCACTTTGGGCTGCACTTTGTTTCACTTTGCCACCAAAACTTCCCCCCAGGAACGGTTCAGAACGGTTCTGAACTATTGTGGGGGTGTTTACGCATGGTGTTTGGGCACGTTTGGACCAGCTTTTGGGAGTTTTTTGTGTGTTTTATTGTTGTCTTAAATGATTTTCGCGGCTTCAATCCACCTGGGAAGGACCTGAAGAGGAAGGACTCTACAACACAAAAAAAAAAGGCTAGAGCTGGGGATTGAGCCTTTCCAAGGCTTTGTGCCTCCTAGCTTATTTCAATGCGAGGGAGTTGGACAAATTTGACATTGAAGCTGCCAAGCTCCTCGCACCTTGTCAAGCGCGCCCCCCTTATTTACATTGCTGTAGATCGCATGATCAAACAGCCAAACCACATGTTTTTTAATTAGTCCTTGGCAGTTTTCGATGATTGTCGTGCATCATATCAATTGAACAATTTAATGCATAAATTAAATTGTCATTGTTATGTTTAGTTTACTTTTATTAATATTTGACTTCTCTTTTACGACTTACACAGTGTGAGACGTTTTTCTTTGCTGCGACATTTTTTAATATAGAAACTGCCCTTCCCTTTCATTAATAACTTCAAACCTTTAAGACCACGTTTTCAACTTAAAATTTTGATATTCAAAAAACATGTGCCAAAACACGCCCCAAGACATCTGCCAGGAAACCGTTCTGAACCGTTCTTTGTAGAAAGTACCCAAAAAACGCAAATAGTTCAGAACCGTTCTGAACCGTTCTGAACCGGGAAACGGAACCGTTCTGAACCGTTCTTTGAGGGGTGAAGTTTTCATCAGAGAACCGTTCTGAACCGTTCTTTGTGCATCCCAAAGTAGTGTTTTTCTGTATTTATTTGAACAGTATTTTTCAACTTGTTTTCTTTTACGGATATCTGATATCTTAATCATTCATCATGTGATTTAAAACATCATTGCATGTTGAATCATTTCGCTTCATTTTCAACGCATATCATTTTATACTACTTGAGTATCATTTCATCATACCACATCTTATCACCATGTATCGCATCAAATATTTTCATCATGACAGCATCAAATCACGGAGCCCTTCCACGTTTCCACGCTATGGTAATTCCACGGTATATAGACATAGACACAGAGACACAAATCGTACCGAAATAACATACCATGTCAGTTTGCATCATGTCAGTTTGCATCATGTCATAAGTCGTATAGGTCAAGTCATACCATCACATCATATGAATCATATCGCACCATATTATGTCCAAACTCAGCAATTGCCTAAACTTCAAACTTGTTTCAAAGCTTCCTATTGGACTAATCCTGCAGCGCTCTTAATTCCAACTGTGCGCAGCTGGCTTTGCAAAAAGGGCATTGCTGCTCTTGGACATTTCGGCAGTTTGGGAAGTTTCCACGAAGGTAGGGTGAAAATTTTCTTGGGAAATTGAATGTCAACAACAGTTTTGACATCAATCTGGGCTTGCATCAGGGCTATGTATGGTGCTATGTATGGGGCTGTGTTTTGGAGAAAGAGACTCTATACGTATAAATTGACAGAAACAGGCACTTAAACAGGCTAACGTTTGATATAAATAATATGTTTATCTATATGTGCCCAAGAGTCCAAAAGGGATTCTTTGCCATGGATTTTGTGTAAATGCCATTCTTTGCACTGACCACGCCGACAAAGTGGGACCACGCTGTCATCCCATTTAAAGACTTTGCCTATTTTCAATGGGGCTAACACAAGTTAATTGTACCGGCCATTACTAACCTATACACCCACAAAAACTCAAAAAAGTACACATGCCAAAACATACTGCATTTGATTTTTGCATATGACTGAAAATTAATCAAGATACAGTAGCAATTTTTGACGTCAAGTTTCGATTTTCTTGCACCACTCAAACTCCCAAGAGGCATGCAGTGCGAAGCTGGTGCAGCCAGCACAGGAATGGTTCATCTATCCACCATGTATATCACAAGATTCCTCTAGAAATGTTTTCACACATGGTCACAACATGTCACAGTCACAACCAAAAAAATCCGGTATTCACCAAGAAGAACCAACATTTTTTTAAGCGGGAATGATTTCGAATTGGATTTTGTGGTTTTTGGGACCAGGACAAACAATAGAGGTCCCGCGGCAAACATTGTCAGTTCCACGGCAAATTTGTAATTTCCACGCGGGGACCATGCTGGGACCACATACCCCGGGACCCCCCAGGTTGTGTTTTTGATTTTTTCCATTCTTCTCGGACATGTTTCCAATTTGTCACAGGCCGTTTGGTCAAAAGCATATACTTTTAAATGCAAACCATTGACATGACCCCAACATAGGGCATGCATGCACTCAGTCCGAATCAATTTTTGCGGAAGGGGTGTAGCAAAATACAGCTCGTAGTAGAAACTCCGGTGTGTCGCCAAATCATAGCAGCAGCAGTAGGTTGCAGGGCAAAAAATGATGAACCAACGTGGTGCGTTGATTTAATCAATGTTATCATGGCAACCCTTTGAACTCACGATGGGATTTAATATCATGTCATCTACTGTTAATGAAGGGCCTCCGGAAAGCCACATTCATGTTTTGAATGGTTGAATCATTGCCAACTAAGCCCCTGCAGTCTGGCAAAGTTCGGTTGGTAACGGCAAAGTTTTCGCAAGCCGTCGGGGGTATTCTCTGCCTATACTTGGACCGCCTGGGTATATAT